ACTAGACAGTGGAATTGGTACATGCTCAGACGTCTGAGTGAAAACTATGTCAACATACTTCTATAGATTGAAAGGAGACTGAGACCATTCCATCTTGGTCATCATATCTTCGATTAAACAAGTCTCTGTAAATTCGACTCTTTTTGTGGGGAGTTGCGTACCAATGGACCAAAATGCTTTATACATTACTTTTTATTTATTATTTGTTTCTGTTGTTAGAAGTATACTGTATTTTTAAGTCATCAGAAAGCTGTTTTTATGCATATCTTGACAAGATTAGCTTTATAACGGAGTCGAGGTAAAATGTGTCAACAAAGACTTGATTTTCCAACCTCTGGGAAGTAAGTTTGAACTCCCTCTATAAAAGAATATCTCCCAAAATGTTGATAAGGATTATGTGTATTCTCGTTTAGTGATGTCTCATGGTACAGGTGCTTATACAGTCAGGGAGGATGTGCCGAGGTCTACTACGCTCAGATTAACTATGCCCAGTAAATTAAAGCAATCTTATTTCCATTTCCGGTGGGGCTAGATTATGAAATCTTTAAACACACCTTTTCATATGACAATAGCATCTAGCTTTTAATGAATTGTTTGAGGCTCAGTTTTTAATAATATTTACCGATTTTATCTTAAGTTAAGCCAATACTTTGGTTACAGTTTGGGGCAAACTATTCAGGATCCAATGAGCCAGAGTTCTGTGTATCAATAAAAAAAGGTGGGTCAGGCAGCTCAAGTCCCGAGGGTATGACCAGTTTGGCAAATGAACTTCAAAGATAAGACAAAAGTGTTGGTGCTTTGTGGTGTTCTGGGTCTCGGCACCTTAGCAGACTAAGATAAAAATACCTAGATCAAGCTGGTTTGATGCGAACTATCATAGCCTTGCTTCATTGACACCATTCGGAGATGTTTCTGGAACGCATTCCGCGAACTACGGCATCATCGGTTGACAAATATCCGCAAATGAGTTCAGCTTATTTTTATCTCACCTGGTGCCTCTGCAGTAGCGGTAAAGATAACCTTCCGAATGGTATCGAGAGGTTGGCACATTCCAATACCTTGATTCTTTCGTATGCTTTAGAGTGGACAAGGTAGAATTTGATGCTGCGCAGTTGAATGTGCTTTGTCGTAGGAAGTTGGGAGGCCCTGAACGGTTTCATCGGGATCATTTGATGATGCTGCGTTGCCTCTTTCTGGTCTCATCTCTTGTGCCTTCCCTGCCTTCCGGCCATCCGATGGTTGCAACTTAGTTGCTAACACTAAAACTAGGTCTCGAAATTGCGAAATGTCTGTAGCATGTCTATAGGTTTGGGAGTAATTCATGTTCAGGTTCGCTTAGTCTACAAATTCACACATTATTTTTGGTGGGTTTGAAAACGGTATAAAATAAATATAAATTCTTATAAGACCCGAAATAACAGGTCATCATCAGAGGGAGATAAGATTTTTCCAACCTTTTTGTGAAAACAAGTTGGTTTCACTTCAATTTGGCCAAATGTTTAAGGGTCATTTTTTTGTTTTTGAATTTTTCTGTGGTATCATCAAAAAGCCCTTCGAGGCAAGATTACCGAAACAAGCACTAGATATTCTTAAATCATAAAAAAATACTTCAACTTGTGTTGTTGTCTTGACTGATCCATTCCAGCTCAGGTCAACAGGTGCTAGAAATTCCACGCCAGGCAAAGGGGATTGCGGTTTCGGCGCTGAGGGCATTGAGTTGGTGAAATTACTAAAGCCAAGCCTAAACAAGGTAGGTTTAATGAAAAGGTGATGTACCGTTTATTTTGCCTTACTTCAAACAATATTTTCCGAGGATATGCAAAGAAAGGTTGGGTTTCGAGGAATCGCTTGCTTCATAACTGTTGAGCTTACTTTCATTTCTGGTGAAAGTGCTTAGTGAAGAGATTCTAGGGTCGATTTCATCAGAAGCCGACGGCAGATTCTTATTGACCAGCTAGTGATTGGCTTTTATAGAACAATCATGGTAACGCTGTTTCTGAGGTAATCTCCTTCGATTCCGGTGAAAAGGTGCTAACCTTTCGTCCATCATATGACGAATATCATCAGAGTAAGGTATCATCGTCACACACAAATTCAAGCTAACGAGTCAAGAAAACTCGCCGGCAAATCCCCAAAAAGTGGCATATATATTCTCTACATCTGACCTCTTTGATCAACTATAAAGTGATTTGGTTAGTTACGGTCATATGCCTACTTAGAAGAGTGTGAGTGTGTCTGTAGAAAGAGGGAGATAGTGGTCATGAAAACTTGATGGCCGAGAACAGATGTCACTTTTGCTGTCCTATTTACTTTTAGCCATCACTGCTGGCTTTGCGCATAAGTGAACACAAACAGGCATATACACATACAGAGACAAACACACCTACAGACATTGAAGTGGACATATGACCTTAACTAACCGAATCACTTTATACCTCATCAGAGGCCAGATATGGAGTATCTATACCACTTTTTAGGGATTTGCCGGTGAGTTTTCCTGACTTGTTAGCTTTAATTTGGTTGTGACGATGATACTTTGCTCGGATGATATTTGTCATTTGACGGACGAAAGCTTCGCACCTTTTCACCTGAATCGAAGGAAATTTCAACGGAGATAGCGTTACCATGAATGTTCTAGTAGAGCCAATCGACAGCTGGTCAATAAGAATCCGCCGTCGTCTTCTGGTGGAATCGACCTTCGAATCCCTTCCCAAAACGCTTTTACCCGAAATGTAAGCAAGTTAAACAATATTTTCTGATCCTAAGTTATCTTTAAATGATCTCAATCTTATAATTCGTTTTGACCAGGTTTTCGAGAGTACCAGTAAATTATGCTCACCCTATTTCGATTAGGATAATGAAAGACTGGTAGTTGAATTTTCCCACAATCATATGAATAGAACCGACGTTTCCATTGTATTTCTCATAAGCTTGCTTTCACAAAACGTTTTCTCTTCCACGCTTATGTGGACGGTATTTTCGACTTCGCCTGGGTCTTATTAACATCCCCAACCAGACTCGAACTATGACAGTGTGGCGTATGATCTCGACACATGCCCAATGAAACTCGTGGCAATATGAGTGAAAAAATATGAATAATTTCGTCAATTGTCATGGCAAGCATAAGTTTGCTACATCACCAATCCCACCACAGAATATGATATGGCGAATTGCCTGGCCTTTCTTAAAACTCACGTCTGTTCTGTCCCCAAAGGACACTCGTGACACTGTCGCCGAGTGGTTAATGTGGCAAGCTCACATTCTGCACTGTCCCGATTCGAGTCCCGCTGGGGGTGTTCATAAGACCTAAGCGGAGTAGAAATTGCAGTCCACTTCAGCTTGGAGGAGAACACGTTTTGGGAAAGCAACGCTGTGTGAAATTGAATGAAAACGTCAGCTCTACTCATATCATTGTGGAAAAATTAAACTACCAGTCTCTCATGATTTTAAACGAAGTAAGTGGATCATAACTCCTTGATCTCAGTTTTGTATGAAACTACATAAAGAATTTCTGAAAATGATGTTTTTTGCAAGTTGCTAGGCCTTGCAGTGTGCAAAACTTGTACGATTCATGTAGAAAAAGGCGTTAATTTTATATTTTCGCTAACAATACATCTTACTCCTCTTAACTTAACACAAACCCCTTACACCAATTTACTTACTTTATGCACCCAAATGATACGTATACTAATCATTGATGACATAAAATCACCCCAAAAATGTGAAAAAAAGATGCTCAGCCCAGGATACTCCTAAAAAGGCGCTAGACCCACAAAGAAATTGAATTCTACTCGAAGGTATGAAGACCAAGATGGTGTGTCCTTTTGCATGGTCCAAGTCTCCTTTTGTTGTATAAAAGTTGTTTGACCTTGTTTCCGTAACTTTGTCATGTTGGTAGGAAGACTTAGAGGAACACATCTTGTCCGGAGTTCATAGTATGTGTGATTCTTCACAGAATCGGACCTTAAACATGGTACATTCCCAGACCTTTCGCCGGCATCGTAATCGGCATCGTCAA